CCCCAAAACCCCAAAACCCCAAAACCCCAAAACCCCTTTAAAATTAAAAAATATTGAAAAAAAATAAAAAATATAGAGTGGAGAATTAATAAACTATGAAAGACTTCAATGGGGAAAGAGAAATGAATTTTTTAAACTAAATTTAAACATTTACAAAAGAGTCTAGTAATTAGAAGGAGCAAAACCAGTCTGAAGGCCTGAGAAACACATGAAGCTTAATTTAACACTATTAATAATAAAGAAATTTGACTAGAAATAACTGTTCTCTTCCCTCTATTGTTAGTTTTTTGCTAACTAGCATGTTCAAGAAATACTTGCCAACATGGAATTTCATCTTATACATAAAGTGGGAGGAGGTAACTCCATGGCTCCATCAAAGAAAATATGTTGGTTTGATTCTATTTTAAAGACAACTCAAAAGTATGGGGAGTCGTCTCACAACAAATAGGGATCTCATCAATTTTATTATGGTATTAATTAAGGATATAAGATAGTCCCAACTACAAAAATGTAGATAACAAGTCTAAGAAAAATATACTAGCGATAAAATTATCTTGAGAAGATTTACCAGTTTCATGCTGCTTCTAAAACCGTGACTACCAGATTCAGAAGCTGTGCACGGGGTATTGGAGGATTGAGCGTTGGAGGGCTAAGATTGGGATGGAAGGATTAGTGGGAGAGGAAGGGGGTTTGGGGGTGGAATTGGGATTATTATGGTGATTTTGGGTTGGTTAAGGGGCGTTAGTGAGGGGTTTTGGGAGTTTGAACGTGTTATTGGGGTTGGGAATGGAGTAATGAAGGGATAGGATGGAAATAACACGTTTTTGTAATTGAAAAGCAAAAGAAAGATTGTAAGGAAGGAATCACTTAATTTTATAAAGGATTCACAATTAATAACGTATCTGGATTATTTGACTGTGTAATTTTAATACCTGTTGAAAAAATTTATCACCCAAAAGAGAGCATTACTCTCCAAATAATCAGACTAGCATTTATAGATTTTCAAATTAAGACGAATCATTATCAGAATCCAATCCTTGATCCTTCCTTGTTTTCCTTATATGGGCATATGATTTCCTAAATTCTTAACACATTGCAACTTACTCTAGATTGACTTCCTGTTCTTTGCTGATCACTTTATTCTGAGCCTTTGGGCGGACTGACTCGGTGAACGTTTCGATGTAGTCTTCCCTCATATCAATGGCTTTTGTAAAGTCTTCTTTCTTTCCTTTAACAAAGTTGCTACCTCTTTTATTCATTAACGCTGCTTGCTCTGTAAAAATTGGATAAATTATTTTAGAGTAGAAAAGAAAATAGGAAAGAATAATGCACTTACTCACTGTAGCCATAAGCTCATTGTTGGTCATATCGGGGTTATAACTGAAGTTGTCGTAGACTATTTCCTTATGATCGTTGTCAATATGAGTGACAAACTTGATTTTGATGAGTTTCAGCATCCTTTTTTCAAATACTCTCTTTCTGTCATAAGCAATCAGAGTATAGCCAGAATAAATAAAAATTAAATACGGAAAGATCCACCTGTCATAAGTCCCCATGAAGATGTTGAATAGGATAACGAAGAAAGCATTCAAAGTCACAAAGCAAGCTGCCTTTGCAATCTTTCTTTTGGATGCTAGATATATGAATGTGCATACATTGAACGTGTCAACAATGATTCTGAAAATCCAAATAGTAGCTATATCAAGAAGCCCAAATTGATAGGTAGGGCTGAAAAATGGAGGACTTGGCTCATTCCAATATTGGAATGAATAGTACGCAAAAGCATTGATAGTAGCTATGGTAGAAGCCCAAAATGCAATGTTAAAGATTCCAAGGTTTCCTTTTAGCACAGCAAATCTCAAAGCAATACCTCCCATTGCTGGTGTAGTGATCTGAATAGCCATAAAGAAATTTTTAAAAAATCTTGTCTCATCTGTTACATTGTAGAAAGTGACATAGGATAGCACAGCCAACACTCATAGAATTGATCCGATAACTTTCCTTGGTGTCCATTTATCAAGCTTAAGTATTATTATTCCACAAAGAACGAAAACAGGAAACAAGGGCTGGAATAAAGTCATGAACGGAAGTGTAAAGACAGCTGAGTTCTTTGAAATTAACTGAAAGTTCAAAAAGACTCCCAATGTTCCTGAAACAACAATAAAATGTAAATCCTTTTTACCAGGGAGTCTAAGTTGGCCCTTCAGAAGTGTCAAAATAAATGTAAAAATAGTTATCCATAAGTGGCGATGAAAGAAAGTCAAGCTTCTTCTTGAGCCTAATTGCGTGTTCATGTGACCATTAGAAAATGCGCCCATTCCTGCATTAGCAAACTGATTCAAGAACATCAAGGCATTGATCATGCTATCAAAGGTCATATACGATACAACCAATTCCTTGCTCACATTCGATATTTTCATGATTCTATTATTTTATAGACCATGGGGTTTTGGGGTTTTGGGGTTTTGGGGTTTTGGGG